CGCTTAACCAACTGAGCCACCCAGGCGCCCAGAATAAAAAAATTAAAAAAAAAAAAAAAGAAGTAGGGAAAAAAAAAGATTCTACCAGGCAGAGTATTTGATTCCACTAATGTGCTTGCACAGAATTTTGTACATGCTCTAATGTATAGCATTAGACATCTGTGTGTCCTTCTGCTATAACAGATTAGGACTAGAAGGCTGGGAATATGCTATTATTCTTAGTTCAGGGTACAAAATCTGGCTCATAATACTGATTAATAAGTATATGTTTAGACCTGTGTTACAGATCATTTGAAATGATAGTTCTTGAAACTTATTAAATAGATCAAATATTTTTAAAAAGTATTTTCAGATTATTTTACCTAAAATAGCTTAATATAAGGTTTTTTCTTTGGTGTATTGGTTAATTACTTTAACTATCACTATACAAATTGTGTAATTATTTTCATTTAAATTTAGTAGAAATTCTGCAAAAAGATACTTTCAGTCTAAATACATAAAAATACTCACTTCTATATTTGGCAGAGTTATTGTCACCTGTTCACCTTTGCCGACTTCAAGCTCTCCTTCACAGGAAGTGTCAATAGAAGCAGGTTTGAAATCATCTAAAAATAGAGACAGATATGGATTTTTATAAAATGGAACAATAGCCGGGTACCTGGATACCAAAAATATGAGCATGTTTCAGCGTGGTAAATCATTTTGCAACAGCCAGTAATTAAAATGGTTTAGAACAGTCTTCATATTACATATAAAATCCAACCCAGTTTATTTCTGTATGTATAATTCTGAGAAAAAAAGAAACAACTAAACTCTAAAATAGTATTCCTCAAACCATGCTCCCTCCGAATCCTGTTTAGGTCAAGATAAACTAGACTAAGATGTTCCACTGCTAAAAAATACATAATGTCAGTGTTTTCACAATTTGCTAAAAACTGGTATTAGTAGAATGTTTTCAATTTTCAGTCTTTCCTGTAATTTTTCTAAAAACACCTTGGGTGTCTACTATCACTTGCTGGCTGTCCTAGCAGAATACATAATTAATGAATACAGGGCAAATACATATTCATGGGAAAACTTAAGAAACAGCAATCATTGAGTTTAATAGTTGGAGTTTTTCATGAATCCTACCATTAAAGGATACGTAAATTTAACCAAATCTGCAACTTCAGAAGAACTTAAAATAGGTTTTAATTTTGAGTTAAATCGTAATTCAAATGTTATTAAAATATATTACCCAGAAGGAATTTAGGGTGCTCAGATATTTCACATGCTGAACAAGCTTAAAAACCTCTAAGATATGAAAGCCACTTAAAAATAATTCACATCACTGAATTGTGTAAGACTGATGAATCACAGACCTGTACCCCTAAAACAAATAATACATTATATGTTAATAAAAAATTTAAAAAAATTCACATCAATTCATATCAATGACTGATAATTCTGATATAGAATTCCTCAGGTAATGTATATTTTTTCCAGGTTAACTCTTTATCAAAATATAGCATACATGCAAACTAGAACATGAATCATAAGCTTGATGAATTTTCACAAAGTGACACATATGTAATCAGCAACCAGACCAAGAAATAGAACATTATCAATCCCTGAAAGGCCTCTCCCAATTATCCCTACCCCAAGAGACTGATCTTTATATTAACAGGGAAGCCAAATACAAAAAGTCTAAATCCAAAGTACTGAACATTTATTAGAATTTAGGGAACTATAATAGGTAGATCTTGGGAAAAGAGAATCTTCCAGTGCTCATCAAATCATCTTCTGTCGATAAACAAAAGCTGGCCCTGCTTCCCAGTGATAATTATAACGGCTAACATTTATGGAATACTTACTTCCTGCCAGGCATCTTGCTTAACATTTCGTATTTAATTCTTATAATGACTAGGGGCACCTGGGTGGCTCAGTCGGTTAAGTGTCTGCCTTCGGCTCAGGTCATGATCCCAAGGACCTGGGATTGAGCCCTGCATCGGGCTCCCTGCTCAGCAGGAAGCCTGCTTCTCCCTCTCCCACTCCCCCTGCTTGTGTTCCCTCTCTCGCTGTCTCTCTCTCTG